AATAGGATGGCTAAAAGGAAAAGGTAACAAAACAAACAAACAAAAAAGCTAGATTCTAAGGCGAATGTAGAAAACTAAAAACAGGAACGTCTGCATTGGTCCCTGCCAGGAGTCCAACAGATTCTTAAAGCCACTTAAGAGAGGTCAAGGTCGAGAGCTTCAAATCTTTTTGTAAGATATTCCAGGAAACAGGAGCGGAGTAGGAGAAGGCCATTTTGCCTAGTTCAGTCCTCATTGAGGGAACACTGCAGGTAATAATGTCCTGAGAGCGCACTCCGTAGCTGCACTCACGCAGAGACATGTAGGAGGAGATGTATGAAGGCAGCAGACCAAGAAGTGATTTAAAGATGAAAATGTACCAGTGAGAGAGTCTGCGTGAAGTTAATGATGTCCAGTTAACCAGTGAATACTGTCCATAAGTATATGGACTGTATGGACTGTAATGGACTTATCCATAAGTAAATAAGTCCATTGCCTAAGGCCATGAGAATATCATTAGTGACTTTTACTAGTGCTGTTTCTGTGCTATGATGAGCTCTAAACCCTGACTGAAACTCTTCAGATTATCTCTTTGTAGATGTTCATGCAACTGACCTGCAAATATTTTCTCTAGAATTTTTGAGATGAAAGTTAAGTTAGATATAGGTCTATAGTTGGCCAGAATTTCTGAATCAAGGTCAGACTTCTTAAGTAAAGGTTTAATTACAGCAACCTTAAAGTGCTGTGGTACATAACCATTCATTAAAGAAAAATTAAGTAGATCCAAAATGTGGACATTAATTAGGGGAAATACCTCTTTAAACAGTGTGCTTGGGATGGGATCTAGCAGACATGTATGGTATGTTATGGTATGGTATAAAGTTTATTCATTTTAAAAAACAAAACAATTCCATAAACTTAAAAAATACAAGAAATTTAAAATGAAAGGCAGCAGAAAGAAGAAAAAAATCTTATTATATCTGCCCCTTTTTTCAAACAATTTGTTCAACGATAATCTTCAAGTAACAGAATAAACGAATAACTCTTTCTAATTTTTCTAACTTTAATGCAATACACACTAAGCTACTTCATTTTTTTAAACAATTCAGCATTGATCTTTTTCTTAAATGTACACATTGACTTGGCATTTTTAACATCACTCCCTAGACCATTCCTCAATCCAATTCCTTGGATTGAGGTAGACCTTCCCTTCAGATTAGTTCTGAATTTTGGTTTGATAAATATCTCTATCTCCTTAAGATTATAACAACGTTGCCTTTTAACAAAATTTCTTTGGATATTTAAAGGTAATGTGTTATTTTGAACCCTATATATAACTGATAAAATACTATAATCTACCAATTCATGGAACTTTAATAACTTTAGTTGATAAAATAATGTGCTTGATGGGTGACTGTAATGCTTTCTAGTGATAATTCTTACAGCTCTTTTCTGTAAAATAAAAATAGGCTTTGTAAATGTTTTACACACTTTAGACATGTGGATGGTTTGGTTGAGGTTATTATTTTTTACAATTCAGAGAGCACAACAGGACAAAACTGTTCAAACACAAATCAGGCTCTAGTGACATTTTTAAAATTGCCTCATTTGACAGGGGACTAGAGATAGTAGAAGGAAGGGTGGTTTGAATTTTCTCTCTAATTGAAATAATTTTATTTATAAAGAATCTCATGAAGTCATCACTACTTATAGTTGTAGGGATACATGGTTCAACAGAAATGGGACTTTTAATTAGTCTAGCAATAGTACAAAACAGAAACCTAGGGTTATTTTTATTCTCCTCTATTAAAGATGAGTAATATAAAGTTCTAGCTTTACGGAGAGCTTTTTTATATGTTAGCAGACTATCTTTCCAAGTTAAATAAAATTCTTCAACATTAGTAGAGCGCCATTTTCTCTCCTGGTTTCTAGAGCCCTGCTTTAAAGTACGTAACTCAGAATTGAACCAAGGAGCCAGTTTCCTTTGATTGATTACTTTCTTTTTCAGTGGAGCAATTTTATCAAGTGAAGTTTGCATTGAAGTTGTAAGATGATCAACTAGATGATCTAAGTCTCTGTTCTCTGATGCATTACTCTGCAAGACAGAGGAAACATTGATGGAAGAGATTGTTTCAATTTGGTTACAGCATTTTCTGATAAGCACCTGCTAAGACGAAATTTACTCTCAGTGACTGTGTAGTCATTTAATGAAAACTCAAAGGTTATTAAAAAATGGTCGGACAGAATAGGATTTTGAGGAACTATTACAAAGTCCTTAATCTCTATACCATAGGTCAGAACTAAATCAAGAGTGTGATGATAAGAATGAGTAGATGTGCGGACGTTTTGGGTAAAACCAAACGAGTCTATTAAATTATTAAAGGCTATGCTTAAGCAATCACTTTCAACATCTACATGAATATTGAAATCACCCATCATTATGACTTTATCAGTATTTAATAGTAAGTCAGTTAAGAATTCTGAGAATTCAGACAAAAACTGAGAGTAAGCGCCTGGTGGACGATATATAACGACTAATAAAAGTGGCTTTTCTGATT